CCCAAGCCCGGCCGGGCACAGCCGGGGCTTTGATCCACACGGACCCAGCGCCATCTCCCGGCGCTCCGCTCGCTTCGCTCCTGGGCACCTCCATGGACCCAGTTCAGCCCTGGCTGAACGGCGGGATTGGAGCAGCTGCCGGCGGGAGAGGGACGGGCAAAGTGCTGCGTTTCTGCCCAAACACTTAAGAGAATCACGGACTGACAGGATGTTAAGGGGTTGGAAGGGACCTCAAAGATCCTCTTGGGACACCTGCCACTAGACCTGGGTGCTCAGAGCCCCCTCCAACCTGGCTTTTTGAGAATTGCAGGGCTGGAGCATCCACAACCTCCCTGGGCAACCAGTGCCAGTGTCTCACCACCCTCACAGTAAAGAATTTCTTCCTAATGTCTAAGCTACATGTGCCCTCTTTCACTTTGTACCCATTACTCCTTGGCCTGTCACTGCAGTTCCTGACAAAGAGTCCCTTTCCAGTTTCCCTGCAGGCCCCTCCAGGTACTGGAAGGTGCTATTGATAAGGGAAAATGTTAAGCTTCCATGTAACTCCCACTTTAATAAGTGCAGTTTTAAGGCTCCTGTGCTGTTTGCTCAGACACAGCCGCGTTGCCGCTGAGCAGCCAATGGGGAGCTGCCCAGAGGCAGCCAATGGGAAAGCCGCGTGGTGGCGCCAAGGGGCAGCCAATGGGAGAGTGCAATGGAGCGGCGTGTATCAAATGGGCAGCCAATGAGGAGCTGTCGCCAGGGGAAGATGATGAAGGACTGCGCATGCTCAGAGAGAGGAGGCCTTTGGGCCTGCCTGCCCTGCGAGCACCCGAGACGAGCAGCAGAGAGCAGTGCGCAGGCGCCAGGAGGCCTGTCCCGAGAGTCACACAGAGCACCGCCCACTCTCGGGTAGTTCATGAATATGTAAAAATGTGCAATAAATATGTATGAGCTAGTTGTATAAAATGGAACTGTGCCCGGGGAGCAGCACGTGTGTGTTAGGCCGAGCTATCCCCCAGGCGTCCGGCGCCGAAATAAACAAATACCAGCTTAATAGCACCTGTGGCTGTTGGGTTTTACTACCTCTGCTTTTTCTCGGCATCAGTTCTGGCGAGCCGGGCAGGCGTCTTCCTCTGCTTGGCTGCAGGCTCCGCTGGAGGCAGGGACTCCCTAGGGCACCCTCGAGACTTTCTCGAAGGGACTCCTCGCTTCAGTTGGCTCACTGCGGGAGCAGACGGGGACCTCCTGCGACAAATTGAAAGTATTTGTTTCATATAAATCGCGGTTCGGTTTTGGGAATGACCGGTCAGAGGGAAGTGGCCCATAAGCCGTGGGAGACGTCCTGTGCTGGGGCACCCATAAGATGCCGGAGTCGTCCAGCAGCGGGTTTGGGCAGTGAGCTCCAGATCTTAGCTTTGGTTCACCATTTGGGTGTTTGGTGCACACAGTGTGTGCGGGCTGAAGCTCACACGTCTCAGTACATTGTTTTGGCGTTTGTCTGGTGAGCGCAGTGTGTGGGGGTTGAGGCTTGTGCGCCTCGGCAAATTGTTTCGGAGTGTTTTGGTACACCATTGAGGTGTTTGGTGCACGTAGTGTGTGGGCTCCGGGTCCCACATTTGGGTGTTTGGTGCATGCAGGCTCGCACAGCTTGGTAAATTGTTTCGGAGTCTGGTGAGTGCAGTGTGTGTGGAGTACGGCTCCTACGTCTCGGTAAATTGTCTCAGTGTCTGTTCTATGCAGTGTGTGTGGGCTGTGGGTCTGGTGCAGGTGGTGTGATTGGCAGAGGTTTTCTTATTGTCCTGTGGCACCAGTTTTATCAGTTTCCTGTACTTGTTAACATCGCAGTGTCTGGTGCAGGTAGTGTGATTGGGAGAAGTTTGTATTATTTTCTGTGGCACTAGTTTTAATCAGCTTCCTGTATTTGTTAACATCTCGGTGTTGGGTGCAGGTGGTGTGATCAGGGAAGTTTTTGTTAATTATTGTTTATGGCAGTAAACTGTATAAAATCTTCCTTGAAAATACAATTTATATAAAACATTGTTAAAAAAAAAAGGGAAAAAAAGAAAAAAAAAGAAAAAAAAAGGAAGAAAAAAGAGAAAAAAGAAAAAAATAGAAAAACGAAAGGAAAAGAGAAAGAAAAAAGGGGAAAAATAAATAAAAAAAGAACGAAAATAAAAGAAAGAAAAAAGAGGGAAAAAAAGAAGAAAAAAACCCATAAATGTGGTCTTATCACTTGTGCCTATCCCAGGTGCAAGAAATGTGTGCTCTGTACTAAAAACCATACTTTTAACACAAAAAAGGGGGAATGTGACACCCCAAGTAGACAGAGCTGTATTTACCCTCAGTTTTTTGAACTTGAATCAACAAGTATTGAACAAAAACCCACAAAAAGACACCCAATGACAAGGTCCTATCGAGTGCTCAGTGTGGGGAAGGGCTGTGCTTGTGTTCTGGCTCCCACAGGACCCTGGTGGCTTCCAGCCCCTCTGATGGAACCTTATCCTGAGTGGATCCAGCCCACAATCCAATCCTGCAGATTCTTGTCCCTCAAGAATCCGGGGAGCAGGCAGGGAATGCTGAGCAGAGCAAGCCCTGCCTGGATGTCCCATTGGGAAGACACTGTTCTAGGGGGAATTCACTGGGTCTGCCAACTCTTACTGACTGGTTAATGACTCAGCCATGGTGTGTTCCTGTCACTCAGATCCTTTCTTGGCCACACCTGATGTTGTGATTCGTGTGACTGACAATACCTTTAACACCCCTGTAAGAAATCCTTTTTATTTTAGTTGTACCACAGATCAAAACGTACCTACCCTCCATTTATCATTAGTAGTTCCCAAGGGCAGAAGAGCCGAACTGTGGCTCCCAGTGAACCTAAGCAGAAGCTGGGAGGATGATGCAGGATACAGTGAATTAAGTAAACTGTGAAATCCAGCAATCCTCAGTGGATGGATGATTGCTTGGATCCTCTCTGCAGCAATCCCGGCAGCTACCGCAGCCACGGCTCCTGCTGCACTGGCCATTCAGTGCAGGCCATGCCTGCTGTGCCAGTGTATGGGCACTGTGGCAGCACCAGGAGCAGGGGTTTCAGAATCTGCCTGGTTTCAACATTCCAAGCCCTCTGGAAGCGCATGGGACAAGCCCAAAGACAAGAAGCCCAGGTCCTGTCCCTCTTGGCCGTGAACTCTGCGTGTCCAAACAGGGGCAGAGGTGGGACCAAGTGGAGTCACTCTGCACCTGCACTGAGTTCATGGAATCCAAAGGGAGGATGGACCTTGGCTGAGTGCTTGGAGAGAAGGTTGTTTCTCCAAGTGCAAATGCACTTGAACCAGCCTGCATGACCAGCCTGTGTTTCTCTCTGGTGGCTGAACACAGCCAGCACATGAGGGGAGGGGAATGTGTGGGATCAGGGCACTGCTTTGGGAATTCCAGTGGACTAGAAGACAAACACCAAGTGCTGCTCATGAGAGAAGAGGAATAAAAGGGGACACTGAAAAATGTCGGCAGACAAGTCCCAAAATGGAACTCTGTGTGTGCAGCCTCATTTTCTCCTTCAGCACCCACAGGAGAGAGGGCAAAAGTGGGGGTTGGGACCCAAAAACTGTTCAGGGGGGAAATTGGGGATTGAGGGGACCATGAAAAAGTGGAAGGAACATGAACAAGGGTGGAAAAGGGTGGGTGGTCTGGTGGGTCTGATGGTCCCATGGGGGTCTTTGGGCACAGGGAGGTTGGGAAAGGGGGGTGGCCCCCCTGAGCTGCCAACTTCCTGTGGGGTGCTGGGGGCTGCTGGATCCAACCTCAGCCTTGGATCATGCCAACACTTTCAGTTTAGAGGAATTACAGAGGTGTGACTGAACCACTTTTGTCCCCCAGGTTTTAATGATGGCAAATCAGATCTATTGATAGAAAGGAATTATTTAGGGCACCAAATGATCAAACAAAAGATCTTCATCAGAATTACTTACTGCACAATATAAACACTAAAACTACCAGTAGTACAGGATAAGATAGAGCAGTGCTCTACGCTAAAGCAATTGTTGAAGCAATTCTACTGGCACAAAAGCAATAACTCTTAATTAGAGATGGATGGAACTACCCCAGACAAGCAGCCGAAGCTCTTCCCGCAGTTGAGGTACTCACAGGACTTCCCTTACTGGTGGGTCTGTTGGTGTCTGGTCTGTTGGTGTCTGATCAAGCCAGACTTCTGGGTGTAGCTCTTCCCACACTCCCCACACTTGAAGGGCCTTTCCTCGCTGTGGATGCGCTGGTGGGTGACGAGGTGGGACTTCCGGTTGAAGGCCTTCCCACAGTCGGTGCAGCAGAAGGGCCTCTCATCCGTGTGTGTCCGCTCATGCTCAAGGAGAGTTGAGCTGGTCTGAAACCTGGCCCCACATTGCCAGCACTTGTAGGGCCGTTCCCCGGCGTGGGTGGGGAGGTGGGAGCGCTGGTGGACGTGGAGGTGGGAGCTGTTAGTGAAGCTCTTCCCACACTCCCCACACGAGTAGGGCCTCTCCCCGGTGTGGATGCGCTGGTGGATGTGGAGGCTGGAGCTCTCAGTGAAGCTCTTTCCACATTCCCCACACGTGTAGGGCCGTTCCCCGGTGTGCATGCGCTGGTGGCTGCGGAGGTTGCCGCTGGTCCTGAAGCTCTTCCCACATTCCCCACATGTGTAGGGACATTCCCCAGTGTGGATGCGCTGGTGGGTGAGGAGGTTGGACCTCTGGTTGAAGCTCTTCCCACATTCCCCACACGTGAAGGGCTGTTCCCCAGTGTGGATGCGCTGGTGGGTGAGGAGGTTGCCGCTGTTCCTGAAGCTCTTCCCACATTCCCCACATGTGTACGGACGTTCCCCAGTGTGGGTGTGCTGGTGGGTGAGGAGCTTGGAGCTGTCACTGAAGCTCTTCCCACATTCCAAGCACTTGAAGGGTTTGTCCCTGCTGGGAGGCTGCTCAGGGACCACCAGCTCAGAGCTCTGCCTCAAACTCCTGCTGCCTTCCCGGCCCAGGCTGGGTCTTTCCTCCTCAGAGCACCCTGGGCTGGCTTTGGAGCCCCTCCTGCGGGGGGATCTCCGGCCCTTTTCCTCCCCGCTGCCTTCCTGCGCCGTGGAGCCCTTCAAAACGGCCTCTCCCACCAGGGTCTCACGGGGG